CGCGTGTCGGAATGAAAGTAGCCAGGTCGGTGAGGTCAGCGGCGCCCAGCTCAGGTCGCCACCTCGGCTGCTGCAGTCCGGACGTCGGACCGGAGATGAGCTGATATATCGAGCGGAGCTGGGCGGCCAGCCGTCGGAGCTGATCCACCCACGTCAATCAGATTCTGAAGCCCATCACTGGCACGCGGACTCATTAGGGGGATAGTGCCACCTAACTGTGTCGAAAGCAGATGCGCAGTGCCAGCATTGTGACACGGACGGTTTAGTGTCGTTACGGTCAGAGTGCAGACAATTGGGAAATGGTACTGATCACTGGATGAAATATGACCTCCATCAGCGCTAAGATGCCGTCACTATTGAACATTCGACGTTGACATTAATAGTCGCCAGCGATTGTGACAAATTCCATACATCTAAGCTTGGAATTATCTGCAATGCTTGTGACCAAAGTGTAAGTGTTTTGCGAGACTTGCAGAAGGTTCCCGGTTTACAACTTCTCGATTATCGCTGACGTCGTATCAAAGTCATGTTCACCCTTTTCCGCCAATGTCTCATTCTCACAATTATTTGATTAAGTCCTCATGAGGCGTTGTTTGTATTGAGGGCGAGACGTTGATGATGTATGTAGCATTGTTAAATTAATATGCATATTGCATATGTGTCATGCTCCTCTCCAGATCATATGCAAACTCTTCTACAGTTGTCACATAAAGATACACTTAACGTCAGTTATTAAAGCATTAAATCAATGAGCCCGGTCCGTCTACCTGCAGTTTCTACATATCCTACCATTTAATCTATGGCTAAGAAAATAACAGTGAAATTAGACTCATTCAAAGCATTCAGGATACATTTTTAATATTGCCGGTAGTCCACTTTTTTATTGTTGCCTTACAATAGCTGAACAAAACTGAATTTAAGCGAGTCAATTACAAAGAACGGTAGGACTACATATGTATTAGTGATGTCAATTACGGAAAATCGGAATACCGATACCAAACCAAATACCAACCAAAACCCTGGGAAAATACCGAAACCAAACCAACTTGGAAACACGAGGGAAATACCAACTTTTTGCCAACTTCTTAGCCTCTTTATATACATTAGTGAGGGTTCATGATACCAACAAAATACCAAACACATTAGGATTTAAACAACTTGTTTGGTGTTGGTATACCAAAAAGCTGGTATCCGCTTGATATCTTTACATAATATGTATGCAGTCACCTACTCACTCATCCCTGTTGCTAATGGAAAATTCACAATGCATGCTTACGCATTAGTTAAGTGAATGACATGCCAGCTGGTATAGGCTTTCATGCATGAACAAAAACGAGTTGGGCTTGACAGAAGCTGCCCACCTGCACATATGACCACGGATCAGAGCCGTGAATATGCATATGCCGGCGGAACCAACTGTGAGATAAACTTCGAACCACATGACACCCGGTGTGCTCAAAGCGACATGACCCTAATTAGTGATGTCACTGAGCACAACAAAAACAAACTCGCGTGCAGGCAGCCGCACTCCGATAGACAGCTATCCTCCTCTCCTGTCGGTGGCATGCAGCCTCAGTCGGAAATATTTGCATATGGCCATTGTCTTCTGTTTGTGCTGAGTGGGCTCAAGTGGAAGAGCAGGTCAGCCGGGTCGATGACACGATGAGTTGGATTTGATCGGGGGTCCGTGTGTTTTACGTTTTGATTTTTTACTGATTGGTGTTGTGGCGATGTAGTTCAAAGTGTTCGTTCTTTGATGGGAATGTGCAGGCATCGAGTAGGTATGCGCTTTTGAGACTGATAAGAGAGGAGAGAGAGAGAGAGAGAGAGAGAGAGAGAGAGAGAGAGAGAGAGAGAGAGAGAGAGAGAGAGAGAGAGAGAGAGAGAGAGAGAGAGGAATAAAGAAAGAAAGAAAGAAAGAAAGAAAGAAAGAAAGAAAGAAAGAAAGAAAGAAAGAAAGAAAGAAAGGAAGAATGTGTTGTCCATGCCTCATGTTGTCAGCCCTCTACAACTTTGTTTGGTTATTTGCAGCTTCATAAATAGGCATTAGGCATTACATAATACATATGCTAATGTACGATCCCTCGATTCATCAGCATGGAGTAGCATTATTTATATGCCTTCAAGAAATAATGATTCTTAACAGTTTTAACATAAATTTAATTAAAACGCTGATATATTCCAGTATCAGTTGGATACTTATCCTTGATAAATAAGCCTAACAAGAAATAGGAACACCCGTTGACAGTTGACACTACCAAGTGAAGATTTATCCCTTCGTTAATAAGGATATCGGATGCTGTCGGCTCTGCCGGGAGGACAGGTAGGTGCGGACGTTTAGTGCTCTCACGCCATTCACATTCAGTTTCAATGGCGCAGTCGTGCTGGCGGGCCGTTTATACAGTCCTGCCGGCCGTATCTGAAGGATCCTCTGAGCGGCGGGGCTTCATCCATCAGCAGCAGGCGGCAGAGGACCGTGCGCTCCCCTCCACCGCCCTGACCAAACGGTCCACCGCGTGCAGCTCACGGGGAGGGACGCCACGCATACTGATGGCAGTGTCCGGTGCGCGGCCAGGATCTATCTCATTGAGGTCTGACCTTGAGGGAAGTACGGTGGGGGAGGCAGCGTCCCTGCGCAGGACTCTGACGGGCTGTCCTGGCGCACGATGGATGGTGCAGCCTTACCTTGCGACCCTTGTGGGTGCAGTTTTGTGTGCTGTTGAATGCTGGTATACGTGTATGACTGCATACAGAATACCAGATAAGACGGGAGGACAAACAGGGGCTGCAGAAACTCTTACCATCACGTGACAGTGACGACAGGGAGGGATAAAAGAGCAATCACAGTCTATAAAGTGAGTTTGGTTTGACTCCAAGTATCAATGTTAAACGGGACATGTTACGCAAGCCTCGCTATTGACATTCGATCGATTAATCGCTTGGAGTGTGAGAGGATCGTTTAACAAAAACACCAATGCGAAAAATGACACACCGCGCGCACCGACCTCATCTGGCATCTGAGCTGTAATCTGAGAACTGCAGTTGACCGCTTCAGATGCTAAATAGCAAGGGCCGAGGTCTTTTGAGCTGTGCTGTCACCGTCTTTCCTTCAGGTCAGCGATCCAACGCGTTCAGATGAGTCGGGTTGAACTAAGCCGAGCTGCTGAGTTGAGTCTATTTGGTCTCCGTACCCAAAAATACATGGCAGAGCAAATACAGAAGGGATGATTAGAGTGAGCAACCATGCATCTCTGCTTGAATGCTGACGATAAAAGCATGAGACCTTTGCCTCTGAAATGGCCCACTGTTCTACGTCTATACTTGGATTTCGGACTTCTCGCCGGCATACTCGCCCAATTCATGCTCAATGACATGGATTAAAAATATTGATCTCGCGTATGCTCATTGGAGCTATTGAGCATTCATATTCTGTCGGTCCTGGATCCGTGGGCCATGGATTCCATCTCTGCCTTGGTCAGGCCGAGGAGCGTTACCAGGAGCCATGGATCCCAATGCATCGACACTCTACACAAAGACTGTGAGTACACTGGATCTACAGTTGACTCCTTACACATGTCATCGATCTGGTCAAAGGGTCCGATCGATTTTGACAACTCATTGCTCACAGAGGACCGGTCCCATAAACGGCGATAGACAGGTCAAGGGCGGGCAAATATGTACAACCGCCTCGTGTTCCGGTATACACAGTGGCTGTCTGTAAATCCTGCTGAGGCCTTGCCCAGAGTATGGTCCTGCTCCCGCAACCGAGCCGTTCTGTTTCCAAGTAAAGGCGGATGACAAAAAAGCGATTCAGCTGAGATTCTGTGTTGTGCTATTTCATGACCTGTTTGCAATTGTCCAAAAGGTGTCCACGTCTCCACCAGCGTATATGAGCATTGAGCACATTGGGACAAAGCTCGCCTCGTGACCACTGGAACTCTACTGGCACTCATGGTTCTAACCAGATCGGTGTTATGCTTTTATTTTCGTCGAACCTATCGTACTTTATGTAAGCTCTGAATAAGTATGAGCCTTGTCACCGCTGCCTGTTTTATCTCTTGAAGATGGGCGAGCAGACCGCTACGAGACGGAGTGAATGGTAACCAATTCTAGGTATCAGGTGAGCTGGTGACCTTTGAAGTCAAGTCAAGCATTCAAAGATTGAGACCCCACGTTTGGCGATAACTTTCGGCAAAATGGGTAACATAACAATGCTTTTGTTCAGACGATATTGAGAGGTCTAGGTGCGTCGAATGATAAACATACTTATGCTTTGAATTGGTTTTTGGAAAGGTCAGTCTGAGATCATTGCCTGCCATTGAACGCAGGCAAAGAAGGTGATCTTGGTAGGTGGTGTCACATATAATCAAATTAAATATCCCATTTTGAGTTCATTGGAATATTTGCCACTTTGATAGTCCAGTCTGGTCGAAAAAAATACTACCAAGACCAAAAACATTTGAGCAATCGCTGTTAGGTGTGTTTTATATAAAAGGAGCGGTAGACTTATGGAAGCATCAAGAAAAACGATGAGTGTTTCGAAGCAAAGGTTAATATTTGCATGAGAGATTTGCATACCTGATGCTCCGGACGTCAAAACAGAGCCTCTGCTCCGGCTGACGCACCCGTAAATAGCTATGTCAGGGAGACAATGGATGCGACACATTGGCATCGCTGCCGCCATGCCCGACGGAGTGGATTTGTTTGAGCCGCAAGGACATGACATGTTTTGCATGCTACTCATGATCGGACAAAGCCGAACACTTCCATTCGTGGCGCTTGATTGACTTGAAATGTGACGCGGGTCGCGTCAAATACCACCTCAAGGTTACGTCCGTGCGGAATGTTTGCGCCTCAGGTGCATGCCTACCGCAAAGCAAAAGCTTCTGGTGGCCAGTGACCAGAAGTTTTTTCATTTTGGCTAAGTACTAACTTAGGTAAGCAAAATAGTGTTCGAAATGACAAAGCCGTTCCCCACGCAAGTTTCAATGTCTACACCACTGCTTCCGGTGTGTGTATTCAATTCAGTTCACCACGACAACGAAAGCAATCGTCAGCAAACCAACCGGCAAAAAACAACAATAGAGTAAACAGTGACCTGGCTCATGAGCAACGAGCAATATTTGCAAACATATCACAAAGTTCACACATAACTCAATAACAGAGTGAACACGTTCCTCTACCTCACTCAAGAGTGTATTGCATTCCGTTGATTGCCGACCTGGGGGCCTTGTCGCTTTGCTTTTCTGTTTACTCATATCGTATTGCACGCCAGCCAGTAGCCAATCATCGATGTCCCTCCTGCTTCTACGCATCATCGGGCGAGATCGAAGGTCTGGTGCCACGGCCTGATCCTCGACCGCGACCGCGACCGCGACCAGGACGCCCTCGACCTCGACCACGACCGGGCCCGCGACCCCGCATGTGCGATGGTCTGCGGCCGTCATCATAAAAGGATGGTCTACGGCCATCGTCATAGAAAGATGGTCTGCGGCCGTCGTCATAATGAGATGGTCTGCGGCCGTGGGCTTCGTCATAGTGCGACGATCTTCGACCGTGCTCCAAATCATCGCGCGGCGGCGGTATGTGGTCGTTGCCACTGTCGTAGTGCGAAGGTCGTCGATGTTGCGATGGCCCACGTCCTTCTTCATGGAGCCTTTGGCCTCCCGGAGGGCTTCGATCGTAGGCAGAAGGTCTGCGACCATGCCTGTCTTCAGGGAAAGGTTGGATGTGACTCCGTTTATCACCAACAAGAGAAGACATGCGAGATCGAACATCCTCATGGAACGAAGGTATCCCGCCGCGCATCTGACGCATGGAGGGCTGGTGACCACTTCCCATGCTGTAAAATGACGGCCGGTGGCCACTATCCATGCTGAACGACGAGGGCCGTCGGTTTCCTTCCACGTCGAACACGGATGACCTGTGACCGCCGCGACTCATGTCAAAGAACGAGGGCCGTTGACTGCGGCTGTGTTCCGCCGCAGACGGTCGGTGTCCGCGCGCCGCGCGCTGGTGTTCGTGCGGTGAGTGTCGATCGGGCGAGCTGGGTCTGTGATGGGTGGACGGCGGGCCCTCCACGCCCGGCACGTAGCTGGGCCGGTGGACGGAGCTGCGCCGACCGGACGCCTGGGAGATGAGGCTCAGCCGGCGGTGGCCGGACGCGCCGTGCGAGTGGTGGCCGGTCGGACTGTACCGGGAGGCGTTGGCGCCGACCCCGCCCAGCGCCGAGAGCAGCCTCTGGCCGCGCGAGGAGTGCCTGCTGCCACTGGGCATCATGCTCGGGCGGTGGCTGCCGTGCCGCCCACCGCGCCTCCCGTGACTGTAGATACTTTGCCGCTGTAGTGACGAGGACGTCGGGAAGACGATCCCGTTGGAGGAGACCATCTCCGCCAGCTGGTCGAGCTCCTCTTCCATGGCCAGCTCGGCTTCGATCTCCTTCAGTACCTTTTGCTCGGCCGCCTGGCCGCAGCAGCCGCGCAGGAACTCGAGTACGCTGGCGCGCAGCCGGACCAGCCGACCATGCAGGTCCACGGCGTCCTTTGCGTCCTTGACCGATTCCGTGTCACTCTCGCTTTCCGAGTCCAGCTCGGCCAGCACCGACCTCCAGAACGGACGCCGCTCGGCCGGCTGCCCTATGGTCACTGGCAGCAGCGAGCTACACAGAGTGTCGGGCCGCGGCCTGCCCTTCACGGGTCGCAGCCAGGGCCGCTCCGGCTGCGGTCTCCAGATCCAGCGGTAGGCTACGCGTGCACGGCGCATCGCCCGACCCAGGTACAGGTCGGCCACGCAGATGGGTCGCAGGGCGCCGAGGTACCGCCGCGCGCCACCGAGCCACATTGTCAGCCCCAGCAGCCACTGGGTGAGGGAGAGCAAGCTGACGCCGCTGTGGTAAGCCACTACGCTGGCCACAGTTGCCAGCCACTGCGTCAGACTGGGCACCTCCACCATCGCCGTCTGCGACACAAGGAGCAGTGAAGGTGAGAAAAGCGCATGCTTCATGGCAGGGTGAAACTATAGTGTAACTGTAGCTTTGATGTTCACTGATGTTGAAGTTCTGGTTTTATGAACACATATTTGTATCAGAACGTCAGTATTCACACAACAGGACAATGAAATCACCCGCAGACGGCCCTAACGCCATCACCACTTAAGCTGTCCACCCAGCTCTGAACTACTCCGATTTCATCTCTTTATCTCCACGACCATCCCGTCAATTCTCACGGTGGTATGGGCCAGGTCGGCGTGCAGCAGGATGCTGATGGTGCGCTGACTGTCGGCGGCTGGCTGCTCCACCTGTCCGGCCAGCGTCGTGTCCACCTCGAGCTCCGAGCAGTCCTCGGGACAGTGCTGCCAGCACGGCGAGCTCTCCGGGTGGTCTAGCAGACCGTCCGAGATCGCCAGCGCATCGGCGGCGCCTGGAACGATCACCGCATGCTGCTGAGTGCTCGGGCAGTAAGTCTCGCAGTTCGCTTCCTCAGTCTATCTCTCTGTCTGATTCTCTCTCCTCTCTCTCTCTCTCTCTCTCTCTCTCTCTCTCTCTCTCTCTCTCTCTCTCTCTCTCTCTCTCTCTCTCTCTCTCTCTCTCTCTCTCTCTCTCTCTCTCTCCCGACCCCTGTGTCCTCCATGTCCCAATCGTCCCTCACTTTTGTACGTGTTGCAGTACGGCAGCTGTGGGGTAGTGCTGCCCTCATCGGTGTTCTCCAGCCACGGAAACATGCAGTCTATCTGGCCGAGCGCCGAGTCAATCAGACACGATCGCAGGCACTGCTGACGACTGCCCTGATCGCGACGATTGCTGCAAAAATTGGCGTCCCTCTTCTTCTTGGAAGCTATAAGAAAGAAGATTAGAGTCAAAATGCCAGGGCCAGTGTCACTTATCCACTTTGGTGTGAGATTCCCATAAGATAGCTCGTATTGGGACCTTTTCAAAACATTGCGGCTCCTTTATTGGATTGATTTGGGCTCCCATGACCAACACGGCCTATAAGGGTAACTGTGGGAGAACCCAAGTCGTCAATGGGTACTTTCAACGTACGAGGCCTTTTAGCTTAGCTTGTGTTTGTGCCACCATAGGCCTACATGCCACCATAGGCCTCATCTCAGATTTGGCTCAAAGTGGACTTTTGCGCGGGGTATTTTATGCCAACTAAAAAGGTTATTTGAAGCTCTCAGAATGATGTCCCCCAGCATTTTGTTAGAACTTCTCAAATATGTTAGCTTCAAAGACCGAGAAACAAAGCTGATAAGCATGAAACCTGATATTTAGGTATCAATGAAAGGCCGCATTTGAGTAAACCTTTCTGGTAATCAATTATCGCAATTGTTTAACTATTCTGATCCGTAGGCATCAGATTTGAAAAATTAAGGGAAGCAGATTTCTTAAAATAATTAATTGTCCGTAATTTGTTTTTTAGGCATACATGTATCTTAAATTTTGTCTTAAAAAACGGACGATAAATTGCGCAACATGTCGTCATCTCATATGTAAAGTATAAGCAAGGTATCACAAGTGAGTGAAACATAGATAATTGCAAAAATAAGAATTTTGGCCAAAGGTAAATATTTTGCCAACATGAACAGCGGTGCACGAAATTATTCGGCTTTAGCGCATCAAACAAATCGCGTATGGTTTGTGCCATCCCACCTGCAGTGTCACGCTATAGAAGGAGGCGCTGTCGGGAGGCGCGATCGATCGTGTAGCTGATATCATCCCCTGTGTAGGTGGGCGATGATCCCGGGTGGACGGCTCGGCTTGGCCGGACGGGCTGACAATGCTCAGTAGCCGGACACATTACTCATCGGATCACCACCCTACCCGTCGGCGGACAGATGGATTGAGACGTCCGTCACACGGGAGCAGCCGCTGCATACGGACGTACCCGGCAGTGCACTGTGTACGTGATGCTCATGTTTGTCGACTTGTGGGGATGGATGTTTACTCGCTGGGGGTATCGTATCGGGTGGATAGCATAATGGTGCTGACGGCGGACGGTGGCAGCTACAAAGGGTCCCGGATGAGATTGTTTACAAGTCTTACTCCAAAAGAACTTATAGGTGTTATGTGGTGAAGAAATTCAAACGGCAGGCGACGTTCGCTTCAAAACTAATTTAAAAGCGGCATGAAGTTATCACTTATGTCATAAGTGTAATCCCAAGGTCAGACATGAAGCAATCACTTATGCTGCACACTACAGGCTTATGGTCTTTAGGCTCCAACCTTAATTGTTTATGGACGTTAATGTGTACTTATGCTTGTATGTATGCACATATCTTGCCTATGCAGCCTCAGTAGTCAATAGCGGGGGGTCATAAGTCAGACCCTTCCTCCCTACCCACGCTAGGCATAGCTTGCGTCACGACATCCTCCTAATAGGCCCCCACTGACCGACCAGTTCGATGACACTGGAGCGGTCCAGGGGCAGCCAGAGAGGCGGACGCTGGAAGAGGCCGCCCAGCGCCCGGTAGCCCTGCGCGGCAGTGGCTCGTAGCAGCAGGCCCACGCCCTCATCGGAATGGCAGAAGTCCCGTCTCCACAGGTCAGCCGTGTTGGATAGCGACTCCTGGCACACCGTGCTGTGAGAAGAGTGGACGGGGAAGGTGGTAGAAAATGGAGGAAGGCCACAGGCAGGAAGTAATTGTGGTTAGACGGTGCTGGGAGAAGGGGGTGAAGGGTTGCATGGCTGGAAGGTGCAGCTACAGTCCTCTTCTTTCCCTTTCTTTTCGTTTAGCCCTTACCGACATTTTGCAACCCTCTAGGCACTGGGATCCTTCCACCCTGTGCAGTCGAATGCTGCACGTGTGTGGCTGCAATCCTAAGTACAGTAAGTACAGGTCTCGCGGGTTTTAGCGGTAGGTTTTGCACGTAGAAAATTTAGTGTACTTCAGGCTATATCTTCGTCGTCTTAAGCTTTTAAGTGTTGAAGATGCGATCGACTTGTTGGGTAACAAGCCGGCCATGATCGTGTAAAATGGCTTCATCGTAGATCGATTAGTTTCTGAGATATAATCGGAAATGTAAATGTGCAAAACCTACTGCTTCATCTCGCGAGACCTGTACCTATGCTCGTGCGTTTTATGAGCCCCTAATAACACAGGAAGGACATAGCGCGTGTGTAGTGTGCCGTACAGTATCGGCGCCCGCTCAGGGCGTCTGGAAGGCGGAGGCAACTGCTTCCATTATCAAGAAGGGTGGGCGTAGCCAAACTTACCCTTCAATGTCAAACGTGGCCCTGAAGACGTCCTGGTCCGGGTCCAGACGCACGCGGTACCGCGCACAGCTGGGCGCGTGGCGTGTGTGAATCTCTGTCATAATCCAGCTGGAGTTGAATCTCGGCCTAATCTTGATAATCTTGGCCGGTTTGATGGCGATTCTTTCGAGGAAGTCAAACGTAGACAGGTTGTCCCACTTCAGGTACTCAATCCCTTTGAATATTTTATGGGAGTAATAAAAATTTAGGCCGTCTTTCCTTTCGAAGTAGTCAGCGAGCAGGCGATACGAGTGTTCGATGACCAGATGCCTGAGATACTCGGTCGTGGTTTTATTGTGGCTGTTTGCCATCTGCTCAGCCTGGTGGCCCACGCAGCCCACTGAGACGGCCACATCGATTCTGTCCAGCAGGTCCTCGGTGGGCTTCATCACCTGGCTGCGCTGCAGACAGCGGTTCATATCTGCGAACACGGCTCCGACCCCCCGCGGCGCGGTCATGTTCTCGAACAGCTCGCCCTCGAGCCGGTGGGCGACGGCGCGGTACGTGTGGCCCACCTCCAGCAGCCGGGTGTAGTTGAGCGGCGGCGTGGGGCACAGCGTGATGTCCACTTCATTCACCGTCACCCTGTCCTGTCTCACGTCCACCTGCAAACGCCGTGCAGCTGTGGCGGTCAGCTCTGTCCTCCCGACAATCATACCGCACTTAAATATTTATAGGAATGTAAATCGTTAGTAGAAGAACGTCTGTATCAGAATTGTATCGATGTGTTTTGCGCAAATCGCTTGGCCGATTATGTTGAAGCGTCTGTTTTGCATGTTTGTTGCTTTCGCGTTCAGTTGTTTTACTCCTCTCAATCAATAGCATAAAAAGTAATCGCATTCCTACGTGATTGTTCTAGATACGCATTCCAAGACTTAGTTGACAGTCAATTGGATGCTGTAGTAAAGCTACATTTCGATTTTACATACCTGAATTATTTTTCTGTCGCTGTACATTTCGTGCGTCGTAATCAGAACCACCATGAGGAAGTGAAACAAGAAGAGTAAAAATATCAGACGTATGCAGTGTCCGAGAAACTCCGTGAAACATCCCATATCGTTTGTGCTTAATGTTGTACCTGGCAGTGGACAAAATTCCGGTGAACAGATGGCATCATACATGCACATAACATAACACAGAGCGTTTTGCACATACCCAAGCAAATCATAGGTAGGTATACAGTAAACGATTAACGACGGACAGTTATGTAAGTCGTTAATTTCTGTTACTTTTATCTACCCGCTTCCAGACATTCTCGGACCCCACGCCGCGCGTAAGGGAGTCCCTAAGGGAGTCCTTAACACGGTTTAGGGAGTCCTTTAAGGGACGCGTAAGAGGGTCCCTCTCCCTACACGGTTCACCACCCTTCAGAGAGGTAAAGGAGTGTAAAGGAGGTCAAATGCTGAGATGTTACACGTACGCTTCCCGCCCAGCGTGGATGTATTTTGTGGAGGACACGAACATAACATCTAAAATGCAGTCAAAAATGATAGAATAGCACTATGTGCATCGTCAGGTCAATTCCATTTTAAACAATGGTAGGCATCAGCCGCTTTTTGTCATGTTCTGTACTTCATTTGGCTACATTTTCGAACTTCCGTTGCAGCTTTCCGTAGTTATCGCAACACGGTTCATTTTCTCGTTGTCCAGATTTGAGAGAAACAATATATATTTGCCTTGCTATTTGGAAAAGCCTATACATAGGTAGTATATACATAGGTATTGATAGTTAGTATCCATTTTTGATTTTTGAACATTCTAATTACTTTTAATGATCTTGACCAAGGCCTTGACTTTAGGTCGATTCTATCGGTGCATTACTAAACGTCTTTTTTCAATGTCCATCCGTGCGCACATTCGCCGAAAATGAAGGTTTAATGAACCTTTGGTGGTCAGGTTCAATAGTTATCCTTTAGAAAATTTGGAGGGAAAGAAAGTGGATTGTCCAAATAAGCTTTGAAATGAGCAGGATAATCACATTTCCTATGATTAATATCTTAACAAGTTGAAATTACGGTGTCCCTGACGAGATTCGGTAGATAGGTGTATCTGCATAGGCCTAGCTGTTGCATCAAAAAAGCACTCACCCTGGGTATGCAGTTATCTCGAACTTGTAGTAGCAAATACTTAGTCCGTCTTCAAACATACATTTTCAACCTCAAAGCTTTATAAAAACGCTTTGACCTTGATTTTCACCACTATTTCATTTTTGCTGCTTATTTTATTTTGTCGTGTATATTGATATGCAGTGCTGCCACCATGAACAGATTAGCATCAAAGTATGAATGCAATTCTGTAACTTCAATCGGAGCTTGTCACACATTTGTTCGGCGACCATTCCTTTACGGGACTTACGGTATAAAGATCCCCAACGAAGTCTAACCGGAAGTTCATCAAGTAAGTTACTTCATGAGAAGTTTAAAACTATCCTATCCTGCAGCCGGATCTAAAGCTCAACAGAATTTAGTTCTTAACTGTTCAATACAAGCATATAAGCTTGCTGGAAACGCCATCAACGGACAACTGCCGCAGAAAAGCCAAAAACGCCAAAAACGTTTGTTGAATTTTTCAATGTTTCAGCTTCTCGTGCCTTCTTGGGTGTGTCACTGACAGCTTGCATTGTCCTTCGCACTATCGAATGGGGCCTTGGGACATGGTTGGGACATGGTTGGGACAGAGTTGGGACCTCAATTTTCAATGCTATTGTTTTCGTACTAAGCATATTTTATTCGAATCTATATATTTTATAATGTTTTATTCGAATACCCCATCCCACCGCAGGATGTGACCCCTGTGACCTGAGCTCGACATCTCTGCCGTGCTTGAGGTAGCTGCCGGACGGTCATGTAGGCGCAGCCACAGGGTGACGCCATCGCGCGCTCCAGACGGACTGGCGGACAGTATTCGGTTTTTGTTGAGAGACAGCAGCCAGGCTTCGCGTCGCCTTCTATGGCTGCTGACCTGCCCCATTCCACCGGGGGATGTACCCCTGTGACCAGCTCTGTGCAGACACGCGACGGTTTTTATCACTGCTGGGGATTGTAAACAGCTGTTAGAAATTTGCCAATGTTTGGTGCGAAATAAATATGAATGAATGAATATAACACAGCCGGTCTGGTGACAGGTCTATGGTTTACGAGAATACCTAGTGCTCGAAGTTCATTATTTTTATTTTATAACGTTCTTGAGATGACGTCACCGGGTCATGTATTTCGCTGGCAACTATGTATTCACGCACTCAAGGCAAAATGAAAAGCCAAGGAGTGCACTGGGTCATCATCCGTTTCTGACCAACAGCTTTAAATCAATTAACAACCGCTAACATTGCACGGTCCCCGAACTAACACACGTTTCAGAACAGTTGTCAACATAATTAAAACAGTCTGAACAAATTCCCATGCAATTTAAACATTGCATGCTTGCCTTGTGGTCGGATGCTCTGGTTAGTGTGGCCGCAAGGTTCATCCATCCGTATTTTAAATATATTCGACAAATTCATTACAAAAATTGATTCACTTGCCACCTACCGACCTATTGTGTCCCTGCTGCGGCTGATAGGTAGGTTGGTAAAGGCACAAATGCAGGAGCCCCATGAGGTGATTATTTGCAATAATTATTGGCATAATAGCATTACAACAGCACATGACTCGGTTGACAACTTTTCAACTTTCTAACATAAAAATCGCGTGTGCAGTTGTGCACCCGTCTGCTGATCGAGAACTTTACCGTGATCGGATTGCGGTCAGTTGTCATGTCGCCAACTGCGGTTCATGTGAAGGGACGGATGTATCGCGTGGGCTTAGCCAATCGCATGTTTTCTGTGGGGCAATCGCTGTTCAAGAAACACCTTTATTCCCAAAACACAATGCCTAATTAACTTTAAATTTAAAACTCTCATATAGGTTCCCCGCGGCTCATTTATACCTACCGCAGCACAATCACTCGCAAGCAACTCTGGCTGGTTATTTGTTACCAATAACGCTCAAATGTCGGAAATAAGAGTAACGTTTTTGAATACCCACTTATTGTATGTTATCTTTACACCAAGATATTTTTGCAGCTGGTCAAGTTAGTAGGAATTACATTTGATGATGTCATTCCAAGTGCACGTCACAATGACATCGGTATGCACTGTATTGACAGTTGACACTTCATCTGTCAATTAACATCCTCGATGAAATTACATATATCTGTCTACATTTATTTCTCTTTTCGAATTTCTTCATCTTTGTTTTGAACAAATTTCCTTAAAGCTTACATACTTTTTAACCCTCGCCCTGGCAGGGCCTTTTTCATAACACGGCCTGGCAGGGGGGGGGGGTCGATGCGACCCCCCCCCCCTCGCGATTGGCTCCTATGGCACCTAGAAACACCAAATTTGGTAGGTAGGTGGACCCCATGGAGTTCTCGCCCCTGTGCAAATTTGGTTCTTCTAGGTCAATATTTAGGGGGGTTTTGGGGGGTATAAATGTAAAAATTTCGCTAAAAACAGGTCAAAAGTTTTTCGCTTATAACTTTTGATCTAATTAAGATAGGGCAAAAAGAAAAGCACCAGTGAACTGAGCACGTCAAGGCGCGTCGAATGATATACTTTTTAGCTTGCTTAAGTGTACTTAAAGTTTTTCTTAATTTTTAAGTAAACTTTAATTAACTAATTAAGTTAAAATTAACCAAATTGCATCATATCGCATATCATTCGATTCGGCTGATCACCAGGAACACAATGACACCATTTTTTAAGCTCTAGCGTCATTATGTGCCAAGTTATTGGAAAAAAATGTGATTTGACCTCAGTTGACCTCATTTGACCTGACCCATGGATAAGTACACCAAACAAAGAAGCACCAAGTGACCTGCTGTTAAGTAATGTGGTTTCAAAGCACAAAAGTGATAGAACGAAGCAGATATCTCCAGTATTTTCCGAATTTAGTATTTTCCCATAGGCTTAACATTACGACGCAATGACCTCTAACTGACCTCAGGTCAGTGACCTCAAAAAACCCGAACTATATGTTATACAACTCGGTGAACTTAGCACATCCTGAAAGTTTGAAGGAAATCAGTCGAAAACTGTGAGTTGTACAGGTGCAAAAAGAAAGTTGAAATTTGACCATGACCTTGTACCGGTTTTTCTGACCTGGTGACCTAACCCAAGGTCACCCGGACCTGAAATTTTCAGGTCATATGTAAAAAGGTTGCCCCATAGGCTGTGCCAAATTTGGCGGCGCTGCGCGCCGCCGTTTTTACGCTATCTTCGAAAAACCTTAGGGGGGGGGGGGGTCGCATCGACCCCCCTGCCAGGGCGAGGGTTAAAGTATGTCGTCTCCGTCAGACTGATTCGACTCTGTCGACTTCCTGTGACAAACTCAAATGCTAATTATTAGCGATCTATAGGTACATAGGGCTAAGGTCTAGGATCTATGTACACCGAAACAGTTGCCGACTTCATATATGAATGCCTCTGCTGCTTCTGAACTCAGGCGCACTCTGTTGCCCTGAAACGCTCTCAGGCTGCGACTGTTTAATGGGACAGTTGTTGTTACTCTGCTCTTATTCTATCTGCCGGTCGCTGGAATATCTATACGCTGCATTAAACCACTTACGCCGAGGCCCGTTCGGATCGCGTCGTCGTCGCGTCGGATCGCGCTGTCTTGGGCTGAGCCAGAGCCTGGCGCCGTCCCAAATGCGAAGCTACAGTAGTATTCTGCTTGGTGTACAGACAGAGCTTAGTCACTCCACAAAATTTACGACAACCGTGACCTGTCAACGTAGAATTGGAGACATTTGACGCCCAAATGCCTTACTTGCGTGGACTTTCGTTTCGCAACGCATCACTTCAAAGCAATGACATATCTTTACGGTCTTATGGGTGACTTACAGAGACAATGTGGTTCCCAGAATGTCAGCCTATTGGCACGCTGTTTTCGCATATATCTTTGGATGTGATATGAGGTTCACATATTCAAGCCTTTTTCTGGCATGCTAACGTTGGAAGCTACCGAGACTTTCGCGAGCGCGACATTCAACTGAATGTGGCACACAACCTTCAGTCCCTATCTCTTCTCATCCACCTTTGTCTTAACCCGATATTCGCGATGGAAGATAATCCACGAATGTTATCTGAAGACCGATTCTCAGCCCCCAACATCGCGGCTTGGACCCTGCTCGGAGCGTTTTAGCAACTTCGCCGCCTCGAATATCTTCTATCGATTCAGTGCAAACAGTGCACTATGAAGTGGAGATGTTCACCATAGTTGTGCTTAGTTGCGACACATAAGAGGATGTGGAGGGATGGGCGATGGCTTTCCCACGGTAGGCGAATGTATCGCGTTTTTGTGCACATTTTAGAAGAGTTGTAAAATGAGCGCACGAAGGGATAGATGAATTCTACTCAGGTAGGGGAGAGCGGGGAGAGTTGTATCATGTCCAAGTTGTATCAGGGCGAATTGTGCCACACTTATCCAATGGATGGCGCTCGTGACACGACCAGCCGACGAGGTTTTCCGGGCGCCATCTTTCCCTGTTCTGTCTTGTGGCTGAGTGGACGCGTCTCGAGGTGAGAGCCGATTTTATGTTTTTAATGTCATTCTAAAAAAAAATAAGTTGCAAGAAAATGTGTGTTTTGGGCATTTAGATGTGCACGAATTTGAAAGATCTCCGTAGTGGTGGTGAGGGTAGATTCTAAGGCTGCGTGAGTGAAAACGGATTTCTCCAGCTGTCCGCTGTTTTTTTTTTAGCACGAGGATGATTTTTCCAAGATGGCGGCTAGGTACATGTTGTATCAGAGCCGGGTGGGGTACCTATATGTTGTAACATGTATGTATGTATGTATGTATGTATGGGTATGTTGCTTTTGATCGCGAAAGCTAAGCCCTGGCTCGCGTTTGTAGGTAGCTAGTCAATGCTCGTTCCATTTCGGCACAATGTGTTGGCTTCTTTGTTCACCCGGCAGTTGCTGGGGTATTTCGCCACCCACCGTTTGCTGGGGGGGGGGCGTTAAACGCCCCCAGCCGATAACTCGAGAACCAATAGGCGCAGCGAAACGCACGAGGCGGCAAACGGAAGAACGCGACAAGACGCTTCAGATGAGTACTTTTAAGTTGAATTTTGAGGTCACAGGTCGGGTCAAGGTCAGGTCAAACACCTGAAATCGGGCTTTCAGTAGCATGGACTTCAGGACTTCGCAATGGGCGCCTCTCGTCATAAACTCTGTCCAAACGGTGCACAATCCATCGTATAAGGCCTACAAGAGTGTCAGCTCCATGCAGGGGTCAGTCAAGCATAGGTCAGGGTCAAGGTCAGGTCAACCGGGCAGGCACATATCCCCGAAAATCAAAACTGATATTCGCAGCCTGTGACACATGTTTTAAGGGTAATTTGGGGCGTAGAACACGATGGTGGCATTCATTTTATCATATGTGTGCGTGTTTGTCTAAAAAAGTTCAATTTAAGAAATACATGTATCATGGTCGTTAAGTAGTCACGAGAAATTGCCAAGATTCAGTTCAAGATTTTGGAAAATGCGGAACGATAATCAATAATCGAAGATAGCCATTTGATTGTCCATGCTATTGGCAGTCTAATGGCGTTTACGGCATGTCTGTATGTCTATTCTGTGATTTTATATGATTTTTTGAACACATGCCGTTTTTGGTCGAAAACTCAGAAACCATGACGTCACTAAAACCTCGATATCTCAAAAAATTTCCGACCGATTTTTTTGAAACTTTGTCACAATAAACTGCAATCAATTCCCTGCAGGTACCCAAAATTTGGGGCGCCTGCGGCGCGCCGTTTTTATGCTATGGCCCGGTGAGAAAAGTGGGGGCGTTTAACGCCCCCCCCCCAGCAACTCGCGGGTTAACGGGCCACTTTTGCGTCTGGTCTGTTGATGTTTCGTTCGGATTGCATTGACCTAAGTTTGGTCTAATAAAAGTTAAGCCTTTGAGCATACCTATACATTGTATTAACCCCATTCAATGTTGTTGTTATGTTCAAAACCAGTAGCAAGCACACTCCCTGAAACGTGAAATAGTGATACAAATTACCCCACCATGTGATACAACTCACCCAAGCCATGGGGCAAGTTGTATCAAAAACATTGTTCTATTCGGCAGACCGTAGAAGAAAAACTGGTAGAGGTAGCGGAAAAGTTACTTTGCACAAAAAAGCAGAAGAATCAAGAAAGGGGATGGTATGGAAATAATGAGTTTATCACGGATAGTTACGAGGTTATGGGTCTCGGAGTGAAAACTGATACAACCCACCCCACTCTCCCCTAATGTTTGTTTGACTATTGTCACAATGGCTTGAGAAAAAGAGCTTTGAGGCATGGGCATCGTCTTCAAGGCGGTCGAGGTCAATCATTCAGCTCTTGGTGTATGTATGCACCATAAAAGTAGGACTTCACCTTAGTGACCGCCACATATGAAGCGACAACACTTACCGATAAATTCCACATGAGATCAGTGATCTCATCCAGTGGCGGATCCAGGGGAGGGCAAATAGGGCAAATTGTCCCTCCCAATCGGGATAATTTTAACTTCACGTCTATGTACGGTGCATTACGTCTATATAGGTACGGTGCATGGAAAGAACCACTAAATTGTAATGTTTACCCCCCCCCCCCCCAAAAAAAAAAAAAAACTCGGAGCTGGATCCGCCAGTGGAGATCACCATCGGAACGCTTACCTCACGCAGGTTTTTTTATGTATTTTAGGACAAGTGACGCAACAGCTGAACAGAGATGTCCTGCAAGCTCTACCATTATTTTTCCGTTTAATAAGCGTTTTGGTTAGTGACCGTCAGCCACTGTTTTTTTTTCATATTGCGTAAACCGACCGCATAGAAGAGTGACACGTCTTCTGATCAGTGTCTTGCATATCTCGGCACCATTGCAATGGTTGGTGACACAGCCGTTTCAAGCAGCTTGCCGAAGGACGGTATTTTGGATAAACGGTCGTCCGCAGGACTACGAAATAGATTGCCAGTCTCAAACGCCTACCTACATATAATAGTCAGTCATACATAAGGCATATGCTGGCTTCATTATCCAACATTGCACAGTGGAGATTTTCCAGATTTGGCACGACTTTATTCGTAGAGGGCAAACCAAAGGTAGTAGTGTAGTGTAGCCAGATTATGCACAGACGTTGGCTGGTATGTTTTGTTGAGAGTGTCACCCCTAAATGTACCTAATTAACATATTCAGTAAGGAATATGATGGATCAATATCCGGTGATATCAAGAAGATAGATATCCTCGTCAATATTCCTTCCGCATTTATCCAGTAGCTTAACCTTCGCATTTATAGGGGGGTCAAACGGACCCCCTGGTTTTTCGTGAATAACTCGCGCAAAAAGCGGCTAATCACAACGAAACTTTCAGTACCCTCGAGTTAATCAATTTTACACCTACCCTGAAAATCCCATGACCCTGACCCAAAGGTCCATTAACATGTGACCTATTTCTTGAGACCATGTTTGGCCCGAATCGTGTCGGTATATGTCGGCTCACATTATCCGCGCGTTTGCAGTCTTCTGTGGTTTTGAACGTTCAAACATGTGACATGATGTTTATCCCATGCATTATCCCTCGCCGGCACAGGCCATTTTGAGTCCTTCGACGGCACAAGGGGGGGGGGGGGTTGGTACGACCCCCCCTCGCGTTTGGCCCCTGATGGAGCTAGAGTTTCGCGTAAAAAAACGAGCGTGTTGCCCGTCACGAGAGGAAGCCAATGATACCCAGTTTTAACCCTCGCCGGAACAGGGGGGTTGATGCAACCCCCTAAGGTTTTTCGCGAATAACTCGCGTAGAAAGCGGCCGATCGCGACGAAACTTTCAGTACCCTCGCATTGATCAATTTTACACCTACCCTGAAAATTTCATGACCCTGACCCAAATGACCTTTGACCTGTAACCTCTTTTCCGAGATCATGTTTGGCCGGAATCGCGATTCGGCGTATGTCGGCTCGCATTAGCCGCGCGTTTGCAAGCTTTTCGTGGTTTCAAACGTTCAAATATGTGATTTGATGTTGCTCCCATACATTAGGGTGGGTGTCAAGGTCACCTGAAGGTAAGGTCAGGTCATTGACCTTTGGTGACCTTGGGTGACCTCGGTTCACTTTTTCGAGTTTTACATGTTTCTAGGCTAGTTTTTGGAGCTGAATTCGAGTTTAGCAACCATTTGAACATTTGCGAAGTAGTTTTGGTGGCTTCGTAACATGTTACGAAGCTGTCAGAGGCGGTTGACACGTATTACGAATACCCGTCACAACCCCTACCGGTTGACCTGACCTGACCTGACCCGACCTGGTCTAAATGCTTAAAGACATCATCTCTGATCAAAACTAACACGATATTCGTGATCAGCATCCCGGAAAACCACACAGCAGCCACACTTCACGACTTTCTAACAGGTCCCGATTTTCCCGGTTTCGGGTAATTGACCTGACCTGGAAGGTCACCCGATGACCTAGGACCTTAAAATTGGGTATCATCGGCTTTCTCTCGTGACGGGCAGCTCGCTCGTTTTTTTCCCGAAGCTCTAGCTCGATCACGGGCCAAACGCGAGGGGGGGGTCGTACCAGCCCCCCCCCCTCTTGTGCCGTTGAAGGACGCAAAATAGCCTGTGCCGGCGAGGGTTAAGGTTCTAGGTCATCAGTTGACCTTCCAGGTCAGGTCAATGACCCAAAAATCGGGAATATCGGGCCTGTTAGAAAGTCGTAAAGTGTGGCTGCTAAGGGGTTTTCCCGGGGTGCTGATCACGAATATCGTGTTAGTTTTGATCACAGATGATGTCGTTAAGCGTTTAGACCAGGTCGGGTCAGGTCAGGTCAGGTCAACCGGTAGGGGTCGTGACGGGTATTCGTAGTACCTGTCATCCGCCTCTGACAGCTTCGTAACATGTTACGAAGGCACCAAAACTACTTCGTAAATGTTCAAATGGTTGCTAAATTCGAATTCAGCTCCAAAAACTAGCCAAGAAACATGTAAAACTCGAAAAAGTGAACCGAGGTCACCAAAGGTCAATGACCTGACCTGACCTTCAGGTGACCTTGACACCCGCCCTAATGCATGGGAGCAACATCAAATCACATGTTTGAGCGTTTGAAACCACGAAAAGCTTGCAAACGCGCGGCTAGTGCGAGCCGACATACGCCGAATCGCGATTCCGGCCAAACATGGTCTCGGAAAAGAGGTCACAGGTCAAAGGTCATTTGGGTCAGGGTCATGAAATTTTAAGGGTAGGTGTAAAGTTGATCAATGCGAGGGTACTGAAAGTTTCGTCGCGATCGGCCGCTTTTTATGCGAGTTATTCGCGAAAACCCTTAGGGGGGTTGGATCAACCCCACCCCCCTGTGCTGGCGAGGGTTATGGTGGGTGTCAAGGTCACGTGAAGGTCAGGTCAGGTCACTGACCTTTGATGACCTAGGTTCACTTTTTCGAGTTTTACATGTTCCTACGCTATAATAAGAGTTTTAATAATAAGAGTTAATAATTGTTCCCACCCTACATATATAGTCTTTGAAGCTAATTTCGAATTAAGCTGCCATTTGAACATATACGTAGTAGTTTTGACTTTTGGTGCCTTCGTAACATGTTACGAAGCTGTCAGTGGTGGTTGATACATACTATGAATACTCGGCTGGACGGCTTCTGGTTGACCTGACTTGACCCGACATGACCTAAATGCATGAAGACATCATCTGTGATCGAAACTTAAATGAAATTCGTGATCAGCATCCCGATAAAAACAAACAAACAATTACAGCCTCACTTCTCAAAGTTCTGACAGGTCCCGAGTTCCCCGACTTTTGGGTCATTGATCTGACCTGGAAGGTCAACCAATGACCTAGGACCTAAAAATTGGGTATCATCGGCTTCCTCTCTTCACGGGCAACACGCTCGTTTTTCCGCGAAGTTCTAGCTCGATCAGAGACTGAATGCCAAGGGGGAGGTTCAACGGACCCCCCCCCCTCTATACGTTCGCGGGCAAAATACAAACGCCAATACGGGCGAGGGTTAACCCCCTGAAAGACTCTCAATCTTCATGGCACAACAGCGCCACAGGTAACAACCGCTAGCCAAGTGTTTTAAAACGGTCAGTATGAAAGCACATATGTATCGTACAAACATACCTGCATCACGTCTACAATCTACATAGTTAGACTGAGCGGCCGGTTCACCAGCAGGTGCCGGGCCACTTCACTGCTCATTGTCCTCGCCTATTGTTTGTTCAATGGTATTGCATGCATTACATGTCACAGACAGCATTGATGGTGCACATGCTAGCAGCCCGCAAACAAGGAAGAAATTTGTTATTCCGAGTCATGCCTTGCCACGAACTCATAGAAACAACGTCTGATCGCTGAATAGTCACCGTCCGTAGTCATCACGCCTGTGCCAAAACCAACCGGAGGACATAGCTTCCAGTTCGGAGACGCGAGCAAACAATTCAAAGCGATTCTGTGATGTATTTTGCATTAGCTTCCTCGACGCTACCAGGTAGCACATTGCCAATAAGCTGATCAATCAACAGGTTCGCGTCTTCCATTCCAATGAAAGCACCAGAGGAAGGCAAATGAACCAGACAGAGGCGATGTTCCACGGGCTACCACGGAAGTCAACGGATGCATGTCACGAATATCGCGAGTCTGCAGAGATCTGAATGGGTCTTCCATCAGACTTCCAGCAGCCGGCGGGGCGCAGCCGCGCGTCTCGACCAATGCCACCTTCAGAGACATAATTAAAATTACACACCTACAACACACTAATCCAGTATTATCCGCCACTTAAAGTCAGCGGCACTATCTCACCCAGCATGGAGACCAACACTTCAATCAAGCACGTGTCGCTGTAAACAACACACCATGATAGTGCGCTGTGCAATGCATATTGCACATCACCTGGTGCTCGCCGGGCGGTCCGCACCACGGCGGTGTCGCCGCGCACAGCCTGACTCCCGCCGCACCTCACACGAGCGCACCCTCCGACAGTCCGATCACGTCACAGGGTCGCTGCCGGGCGTCACTCCAGCTACCGGGGGACAGGGGAGCGGAAGAAGCGCGTGCACTACAGACCAGCCGGGGTCCACTACAATAAATACTTCTGAGGCGGTGAGGTCGGTGTGCCGTCCAGCCGGCCGACACCCAGTTCACGTGTCTCCGGCCGTCTGCGGAGGTGGACATAGGTCAGCAGCTGGTCAAAATAAACACGCAACTCGGCCAATGAACTGATGACGTCACATGCCGCAGACTCAAGGTCACATTATAATGTCTGACGCAACATACAGTCTTGTCAAGCACGCTGAGTTAGGATCCGCTCTGTTTGGTAGGAAGTAATTCGGGAATAAATATTTCATGACATTGAAACTGAGCAGGTGAATACGATCAGCATAACTTTGATGGACACGATGGAAATATGCTTGACCACAGGAGACTGCGCTTAAAATAATGAAATATCAACTCAGATATGGCATCAAAACAGCTGCGCCAAACCAAAGTTGATCTTGAGAGACAGAGAAGGCGATGTTGATTGCGAGGACACCAGGGATGGCAATTGAATACCAAATATTTGGTATGTCGATATCAAACTGCGTTCCCTATATCAGCTTTCTTTATTTTCCTTGCAGCTTTGATTGGGATTTCGATTTTTCAATCGGCTCTAAAACTAGCAGCACTGGAATACACTGTAGACTGGCACTGACCTCCCAGTGGGCGCCGCCGGGCGGCAGGGGCAGCAGGGTCTCCATCTGTCTCTCCAGCTGCTCCAGCCGGCTGGTCAGCGACCTCAGCCGCGCCACCTGCTCCTGGTCGCCGCCGGCGGAGGTCAGCAGGTGACCCAGCTGGTCGCTGGCGCCCGCGGTGCCCGGCAGAAGTCCCAGCACCAGCGCGGCCAGACCGCCCAGCGCCGGCTTCACGGCCAGGTCACGGCTCCAGTCAGGCATTATCTGACGGGGAGGGGAAGGTTATATGAGACAGCCCGCCGAGCGTTGGCTTCACGGCCAGCCCCCTCCCCCCCGCCCTGACGGAGGGGAGAGGAGGGGACACATTAGACCAGGCCCAGTACGTCGCACTGGACCAGACGCAACACGTCCAGGCTACGACTCTCCTGCTCGGACCACTGCATGACGGATATTACCGTACATTAGACCAGATTACAATCATCGTGTTGTACAGATAAGATAACATCGTGTACCAACCCACATTACGTCGAGCTATGACGGTCAATGAGTGCCGAGTGGACATTTGTTCGATCCACGATAAATCGGACCATATGTCAAACCAAGCTGTCACAATTCACACCGGGCCAAATCGGACGGCGCTAAAACCCACACCACTGGGCCGGACGCGGGGAGACACTACGACCGGCTCAGAGAGGATCAGAAGACAGATCCTGCACATGCAACTATGATCCCATGAGGAAAGCTGGATTAATGTCGATTTATCGCATATTGTCACCAATCTTATCTCCCAAATCTAATTCTTTCGGCCCGTGTCAGACCTGTATGTCACTTTCCATTTCACAGAGGGCATCGCATGGCGTAACTAACATTGTGGTCAATAAGAAAGTGTCATTGCTGTAAGAAAAAAACGTGTCGATATTCAGCTTCAACACGGTCGACATCAGCAATTTGGAGTTTGGACCTCATGGAGTGCGCAACATGAAGAAATGGAATACGAACTAATGAAGGGTTCATCAAGCATGCTTGAGCTTCAGATGTTTTGTGTCAGTGTTAGTGGTATCCAAGCGCCCAGAAGAAACTCTTCAGTGGATAATATGACAAATACGTTCTGATCTGATAGTAGCATTACCGAGGATCAAACATTCTTTTCATAAGAAACTTAACGGTAAAATACGATCGATGAATTATGACGTCTCACGCGAATTATTCGCACATATCGCAAACACGTTTACGTGCACAATGACAGTGGCTATTGGGCAATATTACAGACCATGCAATTTTATCCACTGTAACGATATTACAGTAACAGTCCTTATGTTCTAAACCATTTTAAAGGTATAACCCGGCAGGCGGTGGGCCTCCCGGCCACCTTCCGCGCGGTGGAAATCCGAAAGTACTGGACGGATCCGTAACATTCAAACGGCGTTCGATAGCCCTGTCAAATTTGTCGAAGGAAACCAAATTTCATTTACCTGGGGTCACCGATGACGTCACAGGTCAGGTCACAGGTCAGGTCACCAAGGGTCAGCACATGAACCCAACTTTACTAAGGTTGTGCGATGCATGTTTTATGACCAATTTTTCATTTCCAACTGAATGGTGTTGGTTATAAGACCATCAGGAGGTACGGTTTAGGTCAATTTCTGGTGGAGGTCAGGTCAAGGGCAGGTCAAAAAAACGTCAAATTTCAAAGTTGATAGTTTTGCATAAAATGGGTATTGATTCGATGCAACTCGTCACGGGGAGTCTAATGGCGGTCTTTGTTTTGCGCTACGAGGTCTAGAAATACTAAAAATTGAGTTTGAATATTTGACGTCATCAATTTTGAACAGTTTTTTCGCTATAACTTGGCCAAAAAAAGAGGCACCGATCTCAAATTTGGTATGTGTATAAAAGGCGGTAGGAACAATCACATATTTTCCGTTTTTTTTTCGAAATTCAAAAAACTTTTTCGATTTTTCGGCTATTACATTTTTTTAAAAATCTATTTTTTATTTTTGGGGATCAAAATCCAAACATTTCAAAAATCCGAGATAGCAGTTTGTAGCCCTGTTGATTCTACATGTTATAAAAAAACATGTTACCTTTCATGTTAAAAAAAAAAAACATTTTTCTGTATCTCTAAAAGTGTAGGCCTGACAGCTCTTCCCGCGAAACCTTTTTTTGGTCGAAAATGGCTGAAATGACGACACTCCGACGTCATTAGCGGCCAACCTATCATAGCCTTTGGAAAATGTTTTGGTCACAATGTGCAAAAGCTATTCACGGGAGGGCACTGAAAGTTTGGTGACGATCGGCGCAGCGGTTCTGGAGATATATCGAAAAAACTAGGGGGGGGGGGGCAAAAAATGCCCCCCCCCATCCCCTGGAAGAATAATCAGGATCATCATACGAACTTACCTTATCGGCAATATGAGTATGGACTTTGCCATCGCCTCCTACTTGGAATATCGAGTAGCCGTCGTACCAACTGGAAAAGAAAAGCGGCAATCACAAATTTAGCACTAATCGCAAAGGCTTCTGAACACGTCACGACAAACACATCTTATTGGGTTAAGAAAAAGTCGTGAGGCGTTCCAAATTCATTTTATACGGGAAAAACTCGCGTGATTATAAGGCATACAACCAAACAAGGTTATATACCTACCTGTTTTTTATGGAAATGATGGAAACTGGTATGCATTGTTAGATTAATTGACGTGGGGTACATTTACAGCGAATGCTTGAGAAGCAGAAACCAGCACAAGCAAAACACGGCATGAGCTTTTGCTTGAGTTACCTATCCATGAATCGGGCGAAACTAGAATATAGAAGAGAATCGGAACACAACCGTAAGTCAGCACAACTACTATACAAACACAGCTACAGCTGTAAGCCGGTTCCAATATTGTGAACGTGATTGGCAGCCGCCGTAATGAATTGCAAGCTTGACCAAGAACAGGTTTTACTGCCAGTAACGTTAGTTTCGAGTTTTGCCCCATCTTTGAACGAAACGATAGCAAACTAGATAATTGTAATAATCTGCAACTATTAGCAAAGCCTTTCAACTTTCTAGCATTTTAATCGCGGCTCCGCTGGTTTGCTGTGTGTAAAGTGTAACATGCCAAAACGTTATGGTACACATTGCATTCTACAATTAGCTAAACGGTATTCCAAGAAGCCAAGAAAGGTACTCGCACATCGAGTGTATGGAATAGGATCTGTTTAACCCTTTCCTATACCCGCCAGACAGCGGAATCAAAAAAAGCAATAGAAAACAATGATACGTGTTTCAAAATTAATATCATTATTGATGACAGTACATTTCAGCGTGGATTTCGGGCATTGTTGCGAGTACAGCTCGCATATCCAGTGGTCAGCCCTTAGAATGTCGGAAACCGGTTCTCAGATATTGCAATCGGAGATTTAACACCGAATCGACCCGCATAAAAACGCCCTGACGAGTCCCCTGCAATTCACTCGCGCCCTGCAAATAGCCGCAAAGTAGCGAGCGCAGCCTGCAGGCGGGGATGAGGTGGAACTTCTTTATTTTCACGCCTTGCAGATAGTCTGCGCAATATGATCTTCAGCCGAGAGGGTTTGGAATGGAAGGAGCAGGGCGGTTAGCTAACAGCGACAAATTTAGAATTTGCCTATCAGAGAGCATTCATCCCGTATTTGCTTATTATTTTATTTTTAGCGTTTGATTACATACCGCAATGTGTATGTGTTTACACTTAAGCTTAGTATTCACATATTCCTTTCATCCCCCTTTCCTTTCATCCTTCTCTCGACCCCGTATCGAGAGAAGGCAGTGCATTGGAAAAAGTTATCTGAATCTCAATCGGCGCATGGCGCATCGTTCTGGAATCTGTGTAGAACGCTTCAAGGTTGTGCAAGGATAAAAGGACACCGCACGGAATGCAATTATAAAAAACTACATCGGGGTACAGCGGTGTTTATCTTGCTGCAAGCAAGGTCTTTCGGCCTGAAAAGGACACTGCAGAGCAATGGGTGGTAGGGTAAGGTGTAGACATTGGACTGTGGTGCGGACCACCGACGGTGCACCGCAGCGGCAGAGACCGTCCCGGTGGGACGGTAATGTCTCGATAGGACAGCCAGCCCTGCCGCTCAAACGGTCACCCCGGAGAGGGTGTGGCCCTGCCGCGGACCTACCCTCACCACTCGTTGTCTGGTGAGGGTGACCACTAACCCGGAAAGGGAAGCGTGAGGGGGAGAGGAGATGACGATGGGCAGACTTGTGCTACTGCTGAGAATGACGAGGATGGATGGACAATGAATGACAAAGGTCTGAAACAATTTGCCGGGCATGACACACATCAGGAACTAGCTTGCATTCTGGGTTTGGCACTACGCAGAGATCTTAGAGAGGCTTAATAAACACTAGGCTTTTTCGCCTACGTGGAGACCATTTCGCTACGCCGAATCAGCTTGGCAAAATAAACAGCCACACTGGATCGAGAGGACTGTGTCGCCATCTACGTGCTACTGTATAAGCTGTGTTATGTAAATGAGCACTCATGATTCATGAACCTTACGCGTAAAAGCTGGCTAACTTTCAATTTCCGAGCTATAGCAGGCTCGTCTCTTGAGATGACCGATCAGAAGCAGGAATAAAAAATAATAAACCAGAGCAAAAAGACACAGCGACCAATCAAGATAAAAATGAGTTAATCGGTGAGACAGTGCGTCAATCAGTAGTAAAATTACAGCACATCAAAAATAGCGCTCAGTGACAGCCACGAGATTTGAGAACGAGTAACCTGGATCTTTTTATGTGTAGCGGTTTGTTCGGTTAGCTGACTGTGGACGACCTCCGTGGTCACCGACTGGTCTGCGGACTTATTCCGAGAGGATTGCACAACCGCACGGCCGGCCGAGAGTCGCAGAATGCAGGCACGCTACGTGGTGATTCGGAAAAACGCGACCCCAACCGCACTAACGCAAACCTCCAGGTGTGTGTGTTGACGCAAACTCTAGTACACGGTTGTAAGAGGACAGTGGCATTTAATAACAAGAAATTCTCTATAGCAATGATGAACTTTTGAAACACACAGACACTTCAATCCAATGATTATATAACCGTACCAAGTAACTAGCTCCACCCCACACCCAAAGTAGCCCCTTCCCCGGGTACTCACTCGACTCCATATTCATCAATCGCCTTCTCCAGCTTGAATACGTTGAACTTCCAGAACATGAGCATCGACTTGAGCGCGCTGACGCCGCGGATCCTCCAGCGGATGCGCACTGTGTCGTCCTCTGCGTGCGTGGCGCTCTGTAGCACCTCCAGCGTCACGTAGCTGAACTTGATGTGGCCCACGATCCTCAGCAGAGCGCACTGCTTGATGTACGGCACGATCCCGCTGCAGGGGAGGGCAGAATTCGGTGAGATACGGGAGATGGAGAAGCTGAGTGAGCAGTGAAGGGACTTGTGCAAACGTAAGGATCGCGATAAATTTGACCGGTATTGATAGAAAAATGTGCAGTCTGTGTTCTCTAATTGTCCACTTGTGAAATGGACGACAGATGGTTAGCCCACTGATGGAAGTCACAGTTATCGGGTCCATCCAAGTATTTTGGGTATTTTTACAGACCGATCACTGTGAAATACGCTCATCCGTTAAGTTCGGCCATAAATGTGGTCAGAGATACCTGCGCGACGGCCGATGACGAAACACTGGGCACCGGGACAGCCACTTACACCGTTTTAGTGCCGCGTATTCTGTTGTCAAACACCAAGTTTTGGTGGTATATCGAGAAGTCTTGTGTCATGACGAAAAGTCGTGGAAGCTGAAAAAGAAAATATTACTTAAATATAATCACGTAAATGATTGACTACAGCGCAATTTCATAAATGAAACACCGTTGAAAACCAATACTACAGAAAAAGTGGCACCCAAACGGTGAAAGTTGAAACGGTAGGTATTTATATGGCAACATTATTAGTAAAAGATGCCAAAAAGCAGGCTATTACATCTACATTTCATAATCCTCCCTGAAACAGCAACTCCCAATATGCAGGACTGGTCATTCAAAATCATATAAGCATACAGCTCCGATGATGCAGCACTGATCATACAAAAACGTGCCGTCATATAACGTGGGAAAGTATGACCTAACGGGAGCACTAACTGCCTTTCTTGTCTAAGAACAAGTTTATCGGGTACCTTTAGCACAAGATTACGATTCTAAGGGACACGACTGCTCGCGACAAGCGAAGATCACTGGCACTGCCAATGTCATAAAGGGCATTCTGCTCCATCAGTTACGGATAAAATGCGGGATGCGGTGCATCTCGAATTCGATGAGCAAGCCCTTAATATGAATGGAAATAATAAGAGCACGGCGACTTCAATGACCAGAAATAATATGCATTGGATGCAAGAACAGCAACATTTACTCTTCAACTGTCAAATGACCAGGATGCACCTATGATGGCGATCGGTCGATTACCTCAAATCATTTCCCTACCGAAGTCATCGCATTTTCTGAACTGAATACCGACATCTGCCGACATCAAGCATGCATGTAAAACAGTTTGTGTCAGTTACGATTATGAGTGCAGATAGCTACATGTTCCTAGAACCTGTTTTGCCTTTAAAGTACCGACCAAAATAATATGTCATCTAAGACAAAGCCAAAGGACACTGCCACTAAGACACATATTCCAGATTTTGAATGACAGCTGCACTGATTTATTATCCATATCATGTCACTGTATACATGGGGCCTCACAACAAAGAAGACAGAGCTATCTGAATGGTAAATTCCTTTTTAATGACCTCCTTACAAATTATTTATGTTTTTGATGTATTTAGCTTGATACAAATTTTCGGCCACGGGCCTTGATCACATATCAGTTTAAACACAGACACGAAAAAACACACAGACACCAATGCAGTTACAGTTTCGCCAGTTTTTTCAGTTTCTGTACAACTTCGCGTGATAAAAAACACAATATACCTACAGTTCTAAGGAATATGTTAGATGGGCCCAATAAAAACGATCATAGACAACCTAATAGGTCAAAAATTAACTTTAAATTCGTTTTCGTATTCGATTCATTCATCTACTTTTCAACGTTCACTCATGTACACTCATGTACATGTACATGCACATAAAACCCGATAACTACATAATGTACCACGATGATACATTTCGATTCAGTTGCGGCTTTAGCTTTCGGATTTGTAGTTGAAAAGTAGATGAATGAATCGAATACGAAAACGAATTTAAAGTTAATTTTTGACCTATTAGGTTGTCTATGATCGTTTTTATTGGGCCCATCTAACATATTCCTTAGAACTGTAGGTATATTGTGTTTTTTATCACGCGAAGTTGTACAGAAACTGAAAAAACTGGCGAAACTGTAACTGCATTGGTGTCTGTGTGTTTTTTCGTGTCTGTGTTTAAACTGATATGTGATCAAGGCCCGTGGCCGAAAATTTGTATCAAGCTAAATACATCAAAAACATAAATAATTTGTAAGGAGGTCATTAAAAAGGAATTTACCAATCACCTACATGCCTTACATACAAAGAGCACTACAAGAATTAAAAGAGCTATCTGAACTATGATTTCCATGGAACCAATGAAAAATGATAGACGTAAAAGATTTATTGGTACGATTCGCAGGGGAGACGCCCACTTCGTCCCTCCTTCAAGCAAAGTCCAAGCTAGGTTAATTACGGAGCGAGCGAAGCGAGCGTAGTCTTTCCTTAGATTAACGGAAATTTCTGAGTATGAGCGGCCGGCCGGCCGGCCGTGGTCACGCTTTTGCGAGGCCTATATCTCAGCAACCACTTGACCGATTTACATGCGGTAATTTTTGTAGGGCAGCTTCATTCCCTCTACCAAGTATTGCACTATTCCCGATGCATGTGGGTGACCCCTTATGCACGTGCCACGTGCAAAACCAAGAGGTGTCACTTTTGTAATTGTTGCAATATCTCGGTAACTACTGGGCCGATTGCGCTGAGAGTTGGCATGTAGGTAGGCACCCACTAGGCAATGCATATCCATGTGCCAGAGTTGGGGTGCTGCTGCACGCGCGCACGTGCAGGGGTCGTTTCCAGATCTCGAGAACGGCTGGACCGATTGAGCTCAAATTTGGTACACGGTTACGGAGCAGTTAGTAGGGTGCCGTGCACAAGTCAGTTGGGACCCATTTAGCACGTGCGCACGTGCAGGGTGCCGCTTCCAGATCTCGAGAACGGCTGGGCCGATTGTGCTCAAATTTGGCACATCGCTAGAGACCGGTTAGTAAGGTGCCGTGCACAAGTCAGTTGGAGGTACCCCCTCGCAATTTCGCACGTGCAAGGCCCACCCTCTCGCTCCGCGCTCGCTCCGTTAGTCGCCACAAAAGGCGTTATACTGGTTTTATAAAAGGAAAACAACAAAATAACTTGAGCTTGAATTAATATTAAATGGACCCTCCCACCTTAACCCTCGCACCGACGGGGGGGGCGGAAATCCGCCCCCCCCCCTGAGGTTTTTCGCGAATAGCGGGAAGACCGCGGCGCGTAGCGCCGCGAAATTTGGTATGACTATATCCTCATCAATTTTACACATGGTGTGGAAGTTTGAACCTCCTACCTTTCAAGGTCAGGTCACCAGGTCACTTTGAATGACCCAACCTCAAGTCACTTTTTTGCCACTTTGTCACCGTGCCAGAGCTACAGTAGATGTCGGAGGCCTTTAAAAGTCGCAGGATATTATTAGGTCATTAGTAGCTACAATTTGTATATCTCGGAATTTTGATATCGGTGACCTAAGGTCAGGTCAATTTCGCGACCTTCCCATTATAAGTCAATGGGGGAAAAATCAACTCCCTGTTTTTACCACTAAAACGGGTCGGAATGGCCCCATATACCATACATGACTTCATATACGATCAACCTTCACTACCGTGAGGTCTGTTTTGCTGTTGGGCAGCTGTGAGGTCATGTGACGTCATCAAAGGTCACCAAAGGTTTTTGGCCAATAACTCCGTACAGGAACAAGATACAGACGCGTGGATGGTTTCATTGTATTCAGCTCGTCAAGACGCATCGAATGATATACATGATGACCTCGAGGTTACGTGACCTGAGGTCAACCTTTGACCTTGACCTTTCGAGGTCAACATATATCATTCGATGCGGATTAACGAGAGGATCACGATGATGCCCTTAGTTTGTTCCTATCTTGACTAATTCGAAAGTTATTCGAGAAAAACACTCTCCATATCTAGCGCCGCCATTTTGACTTTTTCGACCCCTGTGACGTCATCTTTGACCTGACCTGAAAATGACCTTAGTAAAAATTGTAGATCTTGACCGTGCGTATCCGATGCCGTTTACCGCTTGTCGCTATCTTGCTTCGTTCTCGAGATCTCAGGGGGGGGTGGTCATCCGCCCCCCCCCCCGTCGGTGCGAAGTTGGCGCAGACCCCCGTCGGTGCGCGGGTTAACATTAGATTTGAGTTGAGATAGCCAAAATGGGGTCCCTGGCTCACAATTACCGGTTTCGGCACTCACAACATCGAGAAATGCCTTAAAGGTAGTGTGCCACCTTTGAAAGATTTCCCATTTTATTTTTCCTAGGATAAGAAGCTTCTGTTTTTACCTAATATCGCAAAAAAATCAAAAATGGGCCTGGAATGGTGCCTTTTTCGCCTAAAAGTTTATCGGTTTTTCGATATGTATAACAACTGTAGTGGGCTGGCCTGCAAACAGGCGTCGGCAACAATCGCGAATGCGGCGCACATGTGACAATAAGCAAAGGTCATTATAGAGTTACGACGTACGGGAATGAGTTATCAGCTGTCTAATCGTAGACAACACAATGTCGAGCCGTAAATTTTAAGCCTGTATTGGTATTGTTTCTTTTATTTGGCTGTCGAACATTATTTATGGTTTGAAATATGATTTTATGTAAAATAATTGATATGAAAAAGCCGTCTCTTAAGTTATGACCCCATTTCACCACACGCAAGTGGCAGAAATGACAATGATCAGCTGACGCATTTTTCTTGGCCGAAGTCAGAGCGCGCGGCCCGACGCACCACCACCGCACCACAAAGTATGAGCAGAAGCCGCGCCCAAAGCCAGGGCCCCGGTAACGTGAGGTAGCCGAGTCGGGGCAGCGTGCGCTGACCCAAGCCAGGGCCGCAGCTTTGGGCGCGGTCTACCGCATCCCCGCGGGCAGCCCCGGGCTATCACATGACACCGGGAGGACGCACGGCCCCGGCTTGGGTCAGCGCACGCTGCCCCGACTCGGCTACCTCACGTTACCGGGGCCCTGGCTTTGGGCGCGGTCTACCGCACCACCTAACAGGCGTGTTCGAAACCGCAGGAGATGCTGATGAACGGGTTTATCGAAACTTGATTGGATGAGCATATCGGTAATAGCGATTTCAGTGTGTGCATTTATTGTTCATAGTGGTGTGAAATGTGGTTGGGGTACGACCGACAACCCGTCGGGGCGAATTTCGCACTGGGGTACTCAAAATTTGAAGAATTTAAGACGTTTCCATGAGTTTTGAAGGTATGGATAAGTTCTAAAAATCCGGTTCTCCTTATCTGGGCCATTAACTCCATACGGTCCAGGAAAGCTGGCACACTACCTTTAAATCGGAAATATTGAATTTCAAAATTGCAGCATTTTGATTCAAAGGGGCTAATGCATAGGAATACCCCTCTGAATGTGTGACGTCAGCGCAGATTTCTAACGATTTTTAAATGTTTGACTAAAACGTTTTGTAGCACGCGGTGGTATATGCTGCTTTGCGCGCAACAAGTGCCGCACTTTCAGCTGCCAAACTATTGCTTCCAAATAAAGTCGCTAGGAACAGCGGAGATCCCAAAAAGTAAACAAAAGTAAAAGGCTAATATCTTGGAAACCGGTAATATTTTTCGGTGAAATTTGGTAGATATTCGTTTTCGCTCTTTCTGAACCGAGCGACATCACTTTCATGCCAATTCATAAATTTTTTTGAAGGTGGGAGGGTCCCTTTAATTGTAACTACGGTGGACGAAAAAGAATGGGATGCCTAGCCTAGCCCTTATAGCCGCCGTTTGTCTCTGCCCCGGTCTGCACTCGGCTGGCCGCGCGACTCACGTTCTTCAGGAGGTTGGCCTCCACAGCGCGCAGCTGGTCGGCGGAGGGCCGCTCCTGGCGGTCACGGTCCTGCTCCCCCGCCGGCGACACGGGCGCGTCGGGCGGCGGCGGCGCGGTACACTGCAGCGCCGTCTGGCGGAACGCGCGCCGCTCGCACGCGCTCAGACCGGCGTCCCGCAGCGAGCCGGGCGCCGGGCAGGTCTGCAGCTGGTGCGCCGCCTCCAGCGCCACCAGCTGCCGGCTCAGCTGGTCCATCCAGCGCTCCAGCTGGTGGGCGGGAGCCGGCGCCGGCACCCGGGCCGCGGCGGCCGCCGGCTCCAGCGCCGCCGGCAGCAAACAGTGGGTGCCCAGCGGCCGGGCCTGCCGCGCCAACACGGACACGGACGGCGGCACGGCCGGCGGCTGGGAGGCAGAAATGGCACAGGGAGGTCACAAGGAGGTCATAGAGAGGTCACACGCTGAGCATACTGAGGTGGTTGCATTCCGAGCGAGACTGATGGTTTTACTAAGGTCAAACCATGTTTTTTAGAGTGATGGGGGCATTGAGGGTCACAGCATTGATTGACAAGAACTCTGACATAGACAATAGACATGCTATTAAAATGAGCATCCAGCAAGATGGGCATTCTTCCACATATCTCTAAACAATGTTGGTATATTTTACTCAAAAAGAGAAGTTTAAATGTTTAATTTACCTCCAGCAAGTGCTAAGAAAGCTTTAGATCAGCATCATCATAGGAAAAACAACTATGCACGGTCATCTATTCTGATATGTAAATGGCAAAGTCTGTCGAGTTATGCAACAAACCTCATATGAGTATCTATAAATGACAGCAAAGTGTACATTGCAACAAGATGGCATACCTACCTGAGTGTTCCTATGAATGAAGTTCCATTCTGGTGTACCACATCTTGAGGCCAGCCCCAATGGAAACTTTATAAAATGACAGCTCTTGAAACAGTGTGTCATCTTAATTTTCTGAAAATCTGCCAAAAAAAGTTGCAGAAAGTAAGCAGTACATTCACCGTAGGTTTGAAAATGTAAGTAGCATGTGCGTAGCATAGAAAGTAGTATTTTTTCATAAAACAATAGGCATAATCATCAGAACAAGGAACATTCAAGACATACTTCTTTATTATCATGCATGATGCACCCAAAGTTCTATATTTTCCATCTATGCTGGCACTTTAGCCATTTGCTATGCACTTATGCTTGGTGTGCAAAATCTCATCAGCAAGCATTGCAAAACACTGAAAATAGCTTGGGCAAGGGGCAAGAGCTAAATATTGGTATCATCAGATGCCAGAGTACCTTATCAGCACTCTATCCTGTCCTCAAATCTGCTCAGAACTCCACAAGTTGAGACAGGCCATACTGTAGCCTGTAAGCCTGCAAGCAATGTTGATGCTCAGAAGCCATAAAAAATAGAATGCCTATGCAGTCTGCAGTCTACACTAGGCACCAATTTGTATGCAAATTATCCTAATCAGAATGATACTTATCAAAGGACCCCTATGATTAATAAATAACAGTAATCAATTTTGATCAAAGAAACTGGAGGACATGTGAATAAATAGCTTAGACTCCTAGCTGAGGCCTCCTAATGGCTTCAGGATGTTTGATAGGTACCAATTGATTTATTCATAATCAAGTTGCATAAGCATGCTGTGTTTCCTGGATAATTGATTTAAAGCACAGAAATACCTCAATGGGAAAAAATTCCCATTTCTATTTTTTGAATTACCTATGCTTTAACTCTGTGCCCACTGCCCAAGCAGTCCACTGGCTGGCATGACTGGAAAGTGGAAGAGTACAGTTTTGACTGGCCTTGTAAAATAAATGTTGGAACCTGCCTGCAGTCAACAGTAGTGGTCATTGGTTAAGTTCAAATACAGGCATAACAATCGTTCTGAAAATGTTAGGGAAAGCAGGTGGATATGCAATCTTTTTTATATGGATGGTAGGGGTTGCAAAATTTAATAAAGTGAGTAGGGCAGTTGTTAAGATATCTGTATTGATTTTGTCCTTTCCTCTAAACAACAATTTTGAATATCTCATACACATTCTACTAAAACACAACTGGGCAGTGTTTCACAGCAACTGTGCTGCAGCGTCCTGCACACAGCAGGTTCCCTACTCTGACCCACAGCAGTGTATTGGTGAGGCATTTGAGACACCTTTGGCTTGACGCTTTGGCATTGTGAGCATCTGAGCCTGTTGGTTTCCATGGAAACCCAATACACCGCTGGGTGCTGGCGCTGCTCGCCGCAGGTAAGTGCCTTGAAACAGGGCCCTGGTGGACAGCATTCATCAGTCAAGGCAAATCAAAGAAGAAGGAATAAGCTAGGGTACCTACCTATCTAAACACAATCTCAATCTTCATTTCAATTTTGGCAATGACCACAAACATTGGAGTCCCTCCCCTTGGCCCTTCCTACAACTCCAAAGCATTCCATACCGACTAAAAATCAGCATCAAAGAGTGAGATAAGAGATGAATGGCCTGACCAACAAAAAATTGAAAATTTCACAAATATTTCTTAAAATTTCACCTAAGTCGTTCCAAGTGCGCAATGTGCGCAATCGTCGAATGTGCGTTGAATCCGTAACAAAAAGCTCGATATTTTTCTAGCCTGTTCATATTTCACGTCAGCAGCTGCTAATGCAATAAAGTTTTTAAGAGATGAAACTAAATAAGCTCTAAATTTGATAGAAAAATGTATTTTAATATTCAATCTGCTAATTTGATCAGAATTAAGCATCAAATATAAAAGTTTTAGCGTAAAATAAATCACTAAAAAATATTTTCCCAAATCATAATACATAAGCAGGTCTGTATATCTATGACAAGCAGCAAAGTGAACACTAAACATGTTTGGGACGGTTAGTTGCGTTTTTTTTTAATTGATTTCAAAGGCTACCTCAAGGCATAGCCTTGCTCACGACTAAAGAACTCCTATAGAATTCCGCATTTATTTTTTCTCCGTTGTTTTTATGTGGTAAGTGCGAAGTATACGAGCTCATCAGTTAGTGAAGCTTTTAATTTTGAATTTTTTAATCATGGTTTACGCACATTTACACTGTACACTTGCACACACAATCCAAATCATTTAACACACATTTTGGTCATTGCATTGAGCATTCTGGCTTGTTGTTTTGCTTGCATGATTGCTCTTTCTTGTCCGTTTCCTTGCCCAACTTGTGTATACTGTAGATGCGACAGCACATCTCATTTATGTAAGCACATCATGTAAGTTCTATCTCTGCCGACGCTTTGGGAGAGAGCTGCACCAGTGACTGCCGCTGATGGATGACGTCCATGCCTCCATGGCCAGTGTCGCCTCCGCGCAGCGAACCCGTAACGTAGTCTGCTAGTGGACCGAACCAGCGACCCTATGAGGCGAGGCAGGAACAACACTGATGGTCTCTGGTTTACCAGGGAACGCGGAGGCGTCTTGATGAAGTGGCGCGTCGTCCCCGTAACGGGTCTGATGAGACACGTTTGGGTATCGACACAGTTTCACGGTACATTCACGGTCAGGAGGACAGGACGTTAGCCGTGTGGCGAACTGGCAGTTCGAAATAGGAATTACACCATTGAGCTTGGACAGCTAGGGGACTGGTGCTGAGGCAGCGGAACTGTCATCTCTGCCTCTCAAACTCAGATTTTAAATGGGCTCAGAAGCTGATTAAATGGTGGATTTTCAGCAGGGGCGCGGGAACTACTTTCCGACTGGGGGGCACACCATAATAGAGATCAACCTAGGGTACCCCCAAATCTAGTTTCTCACCGGTTCTAGGCCACTTATTTTTCACCCCTCGGCTTTTTCAACAAAAAAAGAAGACATTTGCAAAAAAAAAGTGTCGTATTCCGTCTCAAAACTGTGGGGGCACCGCCCCCACGGCCCCAGAGTTGGGGGGCAAGCTGCCCCCACTGCCCCCCCCCCGGCTCCCGCGCCTATGATTTTCAGTGTGACTTTGCCACAACCATGAACCTTTATCTGAGTCTTCCTGCTGTCGAACAGAGAGGCTGCTGGGATTGGACTATCGTTCCAGTCAAATCCCAATGTCTGGGACATGAGCCAGTCTGGTTTTGAACTAATACGACGATACTTTTCCCACATCCAGTGACCGGAGGAACAGTAATTTCGCGCTCTCGTTGGAGTGGTCCTTGACACGATCGTGAAGGCGGACCACACTGATCTCACCTAAAACTCTCGAGCCTTTCCACTGTTGTCTGATTGATGTTTGAGTGGGTAGTCAATCTTTGGGTGCTCGGAGTAAAAAAAAACAAAGCCTTCAGTTTTCATTTCTCCGGATTCGCAGGTGTTATCGTGTAGCGGTCGTTGGTCTGTCTTCACGACTAGTTCCGCTCCATCATTACTGAGACTATAGTGGTATATCTGCTGATAATAACTGAATGGCGTAAATGAGACCCAGAGGAGATTGCTTTTCCCAACGGCAGATGATGGCCATTGCATTGACTTTTTCAAGCAAACTCGGGGGACTTGTATGATAATGGATAACTTTAGAACCAGCGTGCAGGAAATTTATAACTCACCCGTTTATAATTTTCCATCAGCTGGCCCAGCATTTATTCCATAGATTTATCGTTAATCGTCCGCCTTTACAGCTTGCAGCTCGTGTCTACATAAATGCATAAAGTGCGCTGCAGCAGAGCAGTTGCTGCACCCAGCACTCCAATCCATACGGCATAGTCCTGTCCGTGTCCTGTGACGGCCGATAGCATATCGTCCTTCAACTCGCACGGCTCTGGAAATAAAATAAACAGTTCACACCTCTTTAAGCACGTGTCCAAGTTAAACGACAAAAACTACGTTACCAACCACTGATAACTGTCTGTCCTTGTAGTCAAGTCAAGCGTATGTAAATGAATGCGACGTGTGCATGCAATATGAAGCCTGGTCACACCTGGTGCTGTCCGATTTTCGGTCCACAGACTGTCAGTGTGTTGAAGTGGTCGCCGGATCCTGGGCACGATGTCGGTGAGCAGCGGAGAAGGGGGCCAGGCGAAGCCTCTCGACGCCCTTCCGAAGGTCTTCGTGGACTCGATGAGAACGCTCTTTGATATCATGGACGACAAGCGCACCGGCTTCGTGCACTACTCAGGTGGGATGCTCATTTTGTTCATAGCAACCCTTGCATGACAGTTTTTGCACCTGCAGTTATCGAGCTATTATATATGCATTTTGCTCCGTTTACTAAGCACACTAAACACTTATTTTGGCATAATAACACTTTATGATCCAATATTTAGAATTATCTCTGGCACTTTCAGGTATACAAAAGTGACATTCTCGTTATGTTAAGTTGGTGCTTCTGGAATAGTAAGGAATATCCGTACGTTAGCGTGTGGCTTATCTGTTATGTCGGAGATGCACGTGTAGATCGACGTGTTTTGTTTTACCTGCGGCTCGGCTGCTAACTGCGCCGTCTGTCCGCAGACATTGAACAGCGATGGAAAGAGGAGGAGGGCGCCAACGTGCCCAAAGGTGTGCTCGAGTGTCTACGCAAGGTGACGCCCGCCAGCGGCATGCTCTCCTTTGAGCGTTTCGTCGCCGGTCTCAAGATCTGTCTGCTGCGCAGTCGCGCCGAGGCGCTCAGCCAGCAGCAGCAGCAGCAGCCGTCGCCGCCGTCTCAGCAGCAGGTGCCTCAGCAGTCCCAGCAGCGGCAGCCGCGGCCGCCGTCGGCGCCGGCCCTGGACCAGCTGTCGGGTGGCGCGGCGGCAGCGCCACCCCCGCCTCCTCCCGCCGCCCGGCCCCACTCGGTGATCGGCCAGCAGCGCACTCTGAGCATGCCGCAGCTGAGCGGAGCCGCCGGGGGCGACCAGCCGCCACCCAAACCGCCGCGCGACCGCAGCCGGGACGTCGGCGGCCCGGCCCCGCCGCCGCCGCCGGCTCCGTCTGCCGCCAACCTGAGCCGTACCCAGATTCTGACGGCGCTGCAGCGCTGGCACCGGGAGCGCGTTCAGCGGGGCCGCGGTGACGGACGGGATGTGCTGCCGCCGGCTGACCCGCCCTCCAGCTCTGAGGCCGAACACGAGGTACCGGCCGCGCCGACAGCCTCCAACCCGGCCCGAAAGACGGCCGGGCAGCGTAAACGGGAGCCGCGCCGACACACACTGCAGAACGGCGTCGATTATAACATGGTGAGTGTCGCAGACGCAGTACGTGGATATCGTAATATCGTTATTTAACGAGAGCTGGCGTTGCTCATTGCAAGTTTCATAATTTGTATTCATGGCTCTGCTTATGTAATGGCCTACAGTGATTTTTTGCGCTGCATGACATTTGTGTTAAATGCTATAAATGATGTTGCTTCCACTTCGCTTTGGGATCCGCGTATTGTGCATTATGAATATTCCTCTCCTCACCTAGCCCACGCTCCATCTTCCGCAGCTGAAGCGTATGAAACAGATGGAACAGGAGCGCGACACGCTCACCCAGGGTCTGAAGATGGTGGAGCGCGCGCGCGACTGGTACACCCGCCAGCTGGCGGCCGTCTCTGAGCGCGCCAAGTACCTCGGGCTGGGACGCGCCCACCAGCCTAGTGTAAGTCGCATGCCCGAATAACGTTGTATTACCGTTGTTCGCCGTTGTAACTCCAAACCCATGCAGTCACATGTGTATCCATGTACGTGATAGATTATCTTCCATTGACAGTAACATAATGATTTCAGTTTCCCCCTGTTCTCTGCCGTATATTAGATGGATGCATGTCTTTCAAGTGCAGTCAGATGAGTTGTTTTCGCTGCGCTGCCTTGCTAGCTGTTTTTTTTTTCTTCGCTGGCTGGCCTGTGAGCTGTTCCTTCCCTATCTGGCCAGTCTGGCAGTTGTTCCCCGTCTCCCTGGCCTGTCTGCTTCAATGTGTACTTACCTACCTCCCATTGCCCGTCTCCACAGGAGCACACCACAGACGCCAACGAGGAGCGTCTCAGCTTCCAGACGGCGCGCATTCACGAGGTGAATCAGCACCTGTCTGCTCTGATCGACTCATCCCACCGCGGCTTTCCGCTGCACATGAACCTGGCTCTGAGCCCGGGCCGACCTGCAGCGGCGGCGACGGCGGCGGCGGGCGGGGGAGCACCGACTCCGTCCACCACGTCACCGACCACGGAGCGCACCGTGCGCCGACTGCGCGCCCAGAACACCCAGCTGACAGAGGTGGGTCGGGGTGGGGACAGGACGGGACACTCAGCGTGACTGAGGTGGAGCTGGGGTGGGGATGGAAATTCCTACTGGTGGGGGCTGGGTGGGCCGTGGTCGGGCCAGGGCGTGAAAACTGAACGCTCAATGAATAAGTAGAGGTGGGGCTGGTTGTGCTGCGATGGGGAAGGGCTTTGGGACAATTAATGCCTAACTGACAATAATGCTGCTGAGGAGCTGGAGTACCGGGATGTTAGCTCTCATGATTCAGTCATGGGAGATTGCCGATCGTGAGACTGGTCCTTCTTTCTACGCCCTGCGGTGACATCCTCATGAGCCATTTTTCATTTGTCCTGCCCTTCTATCCATACCACACTCGCCACTCTCGTCTCGTCCCCTGTGACACCTCCCCCCTCCATCAACAGGAGGTGGCCCAGAGGTCGGAGAGGATCACCGCACTGGAGCGGGAGAAGGCCAGCCTGATACGC